CCCTAAACCCCAAACCCCAAACCCAGAAACCCTAAGCCTAAGCCCCTAAACCCTAAATCCAAAGACCCTGAACCCTAAACCCTAAACGCCTAAACCCTAAACCCCAAACCCAGAAAACCACCAGATGCCCTTCACGCTAAACCAACCCGGGCCCGAAACCAAAACTGCAAATCCTCTAAAAAACGATGAGAATCCGATGAAACCCTGTCAAAACCCTACTAACCACAAGAAAACCCGATTCTCTAAGTATTCAGCACATGCATATTAAGCTCTGAACCCGTGAGAATCCTGCAAAACCTAAACCCTAAACCCTAAAACCCTGAAACCCTAAACCTTAAATCTTATTGAGGGGCGCCGTGTTTAGAAACCCTAAAACCGGCACACAAATTCTCAAGAGTTTCGGAACGGACGAAGCCAAATTGTGCCAACCCAAAAGCAACGCGCCAAAGCCTTAAAACCCTCCAACATAAGAGGCTTTGGGGTATGTGGGAGCTTCTGAAAATTAGGGGACCCTAGTATAGTACCCTAAATAATAGGACCCTTACTATAAGGGCCGCAAAATAAGGTACTCCAATTTTCGGAAACTCCCATATTGTAGCATAACTGCATTACAGGAACCCGAAGGAAGGCTAGTCTAAATAAGACGGCCCCTATTGTCAGGGTTCGGGGTTTAGGGTTTAGGGTTTAGGGTTCCTAAACCTCCTTAAGCTCTAAATTCACAAACTCTACACCCTCAACCGAAGCCCTGATAGATGGGAGATCGTGGAAAGCAAGCTGGGGAGCCTGAACCCCTTAAGCGGTTTAGGGTTTCGGGCTTAGGGTTTGGGGCTTGGGTTTAGGGTTTAGGGTTTAGGGTTTAGGGTTTCGGGCTTAGGGTTTGGGGCTTGGGTTGTTTAGGGTGTTGGGTTTAGGGCCTTTTTCGGGTGTAGGAGCCCCGATGGGCAGGCCTGGCTGTGCCAGCATCCAATTCTGTATCCTCGTTTTGCTGCGCAGATGTGGCATATGATCTCATTCACAGCGAAGGAGTCGGCATCCTATCCATAACATAGGCGATTCCCTAAATCCTAAACACCCTAAACCCTAAACCCTACACCCTCAACCGAGGCGATCGTTTTGTCCCTTGTTGTTTTCTGTTGTTACCAAAGTGACAGCACTGAGAGCATGGCCGGGCATCGGTGATTGACGCTGTACATGACGATCTTCTTGCCAATCTCCCGGAGACTCCAATACCCCTTAATCAAAGAATATTCTTAAATTAAAGTAGGATCCTTGATATGATGTAAGGGATATTCCTTAATTAAGGGATATTCCCTAAACCCTAAACCCTAAACCCTAAACCCTGCATAACCCTAACCCCTAAACCCTAAACCCTAAACGCTTCTGTCGCCTGCCCTGCCATATCTTCGGTGACCGCGGCCGCAGGTTTCAGCGGAGGGCGACTTCAAACCCTCTACCCTCTAGACCCTAAGCCCTAAACCCAGGGTTTAGGGTTTAAACCCTAAACCCCCAGAACCCTACATCTTCAAGCCCTCTGTACCTTCTAAACCCTGAGCCCTATAAACCCCCTCGACACCCAGCGCTCGGGCTCCAGAGCCCTCGAGAACTGGGAAGCCGGAATCCCATGACGCGTTCTAAGGTCCCAAACTCACATCTTATTCTAGACTTTGAAGTAACCACGGATAAAAACGCATAGACTTCAATTTCATAATGGTTCCCTTAAGGAACAGGTCCCCACAAAGAGTATTCAAGTGTGGTACTCCAGAACCCAGTATTGGTTCCCCAAAAGATCAGGGCTGTCGGGGTTTAGGGCTTATAGGCTTAATTAGTGGAGTAAGGTATTGCGGAAAAGTATAGTATATGTATAATATAAGGAACCCAGGTTACCCAGCAACCCCTGTATAATGAGGGCACCCATTTTCCACTATTCAATTGGAAAAGCCCAAAAGAGACAGAATAACTTGGTACTACTCGGATCCCCAGCTTAGTTGTCCAGTATCCCAGGGGAACTAAAGTAACTAAAGGCTATAATATGGGCTTGGAATACCCCGGGGGTGTTGGGGGCTGCCTACTCAACTACCAAGATATCTCTAAGCGCTGCGCCCCAAACCATGTGTCTTCTTCGTAAGGTCTCTAGCCCTGAAATTAACGTCAACCCTAAACCCTAAACCCTAAACCCTAACGTCCTAAACCCTCCGATGACGCCAATTTCCTTAAGCCCTCAACCCAGAACCTCTCGCGCTGCGTGTATCGTGCCCCCAAACCACTTTAAGCTCTTGCAGCCCTATCCATTTTGGGTTTGGGTCTCGCACCTGCGGCTTGAGGTTTTGGTTTAGGGTTCAGGGTGCTGGGTTTGGGGTTGGGGTGTAGGCTGGGGCGGTACTCAGTACTCTACTCTACCCACCTAAACCCTAGAGCCTAAACCCCCTGAACCCTAGAAAAAGACGGGCATGCAATCGCCTACTAGCCAGGGCCCCCACTCTGCTATTCGGGCGAGATAGGCTGTGAACTTGCCTCTGTTCCAAGGGCTTGTCAAGAATCATTTCAAGGCTCCATAACGGTTCTATGGGGCTTCATTCAGAGCCCTTTAAGGGTTCCTTTAGGGGTTCTAGAAGGGTCTTGGGTGCCCTGCAGGGGGGTCCTACACGAACTCTTTAGGTGCTCTGATGTGCTCTGTAAACTTTGCCGCTCCTGCAGCTTGTTTTCCTGTGTGTCGATTAGGGTTGCTTAATGAGTTGAAGGCTTTGGGTTTAGGGTTTAGGGTTTAGGGTTTAGGGTTCATTAGTTTTGACAGGAATTAAGGCTTTGCTTCGGCGGTCTCGGCGGATGGTGGCGTTGGTATTGAAATTCAACAAAACACAGGAGGGAAAGAGCCATAAATTAGGAACATGTGGAAGGGGAGAGAAAGTTTCCGCACATAGACTAGCAAGGATATAACGGTGTTATTCCTGCGACTGGGCGAGCTAAGGGTGCTGCTGATCATTTACAAGTCCGCCAGCTATAGTTGCCCGAACTGTAAGTGGGTTCATATACAGTTGATGGTCTAACTGCTATGTCTCAAGAAACCCTTGATAAAACAACGGGGTTAGAGTATAGGGTATTAAGACTTAGGGTTTAGGATTCAGCGAGCGGTTTGGGGCGCGGGAGCCATGTGGAATGTCAACTTTCGGAGGAAGTTTTGGGTGCGTACATGCGTAAACCTCATAGGGGGGGTATGATACTATAGTTGTAGTAAGGAAGCCCCAAAATAGTACTGGTAATTTTTTAGGGCCCTATATTAAACAAACAAGCTTTTCTCAATCCAACCGCACAGCCGCACAGCTGCTCAGTTCCCTGGTTCCCCCTGGCCCTGAGTAAAGTTGGAATATAGACGGTTTAGGGTTTAGGGCTTGGGGTTTAGGGTTTAGAGAGATACATTTTTCCATAGTTCATAAATCAAGCGACCTACTTTACTAAGTCATAGATACCTTGCTTGGGGGTACGTGGTAAAACTAGAACTGCTCTACTTATCACCATACTCACTACGTCCCCTGATCCGTAAACCATGCTACAACCCTTAAAAGAAACCTCAAACCCCAAGCACTAAGCCCCCAACCCTAATGTAGGGTTCGGAATATTCGCAATACTATTCCTTAGGGCCCCTTCCAACACCCTGCTCCAAGTATTCAGATCCCTACTACATCCAAAGCCCTACGCAGTAAAACAAAACCCTTAGAGGAACCCCTTGAAGAACTCCCTGTTCGGTTTAGGGTTCAGGGTTTAGGGAGCTCTCAAGACCCGCCTTCGTTGTGGAGGCCGCTGATGAGGTTGTAGCCCAACTCCGACAGCGGAACCGTGTCCTCATGGGCCAAAGCAGTGCCGAAAGCCCTTGTGCAAAGGGCTTAGAGTACTAGAGCTTTGGGCTTGCGGTTGAGCGTTGAGGGTTGAGAGTTTAAGGTTTAGGGTTTAGGGTTTCTTCGTAAGCCTGTAGAACCCTTGCAGTGGCAACTCTTACCGTGACCTTTGGGCTCATCGGGAGCCGGGATAGTGTCAACAGGCTTCCAACGAACGTCACGTGTAGGGGCGGGCTGGAGCCCTTGCCCAACCATAAACTTTTGAACCCTATGTTAATCTTGAGCCGTCCATGAATGTTGATTACAGAAAACTGATAGTTACTGTGTACACGTAGTAAAAGTCCGGCCCAGAAACACCAGGTACGTCCAGGGGCTTCAAGATAAAAGTTTTCTGAGCTCGCCCTTCAAGGGCTGTTTTTGCCCTGCGATGTGGGTGAGGTCCGGCAACCTCCCAGAGCCTAAAGACCTTAGCCCGACACGCCTTCCAAATCGTATCACTCTTGACCTTGTCAACTCCTTCCTTTTCATACACCCATACCCATAATGACGAAAGCAGTGTGGGTGTGTTGGTGTGTGTGTAAGTGTGGGTGTGGGTGTCGGTGCGGGTGTGGGTGTGGGTGTGGGTGTTGGTGTGGGTGTGGGTGTCGGTGCGGGTGTGGGTGTGGGTGTGGGTGTTGGTGTGGGTGTGGGTGTGGGTGTGGGTGCGGGTGCGGGTGCGGGTGCGGGTGTGGGTGTGGGTGTGCGTGTGCGTGTGGGTGTGGGTGTGGGTGTGGGTGTGGGTGTGGGTGTGGGTGTGGGTGTGGGTGTGGGTGTGGGTGTGGGTGTGGGTGTGGGTGTGGGTGTGGGTGTGGGTGTGGGTGTGTGCGTGTGTGTGC